GTAAAATGTGAACTTCGTAAATGTTTAAAAATGAGAGAGCCAAAACGAGCTGAAGGGCTGGAAGTTGTATGCCTTCCTTATCAGCCAGTTCAGACGCCGATCTACTTGGATCTCCTTCTTTTCAGACTTACGCTTAGACACCGACAAGCCTGAACCAGATGCAGCCTTCAAGAGCTTCGTCAGGTCCAACCAGCTGTCAGCCACTTCTTGCGGGTCGGCAAAGCCCTTATCCGTCGTCGTTCCGCCCTTCTGCTCGGCCAGCACGATCCAGCCGGTGCCCCGCGAAGAGCTCGTCCAGTCCGCCGACGGCGGGCCTGAGCAACCCCAAACCGGGTGTCTGTCGAGGCCCGTCTTTGCCGGCGCGGCCGGCAGCATCGAGCAGCCTGCGGACGAAACCGAAGCCCAACCAGCGCCGCTATCCAACGGACAAAGGGCGTCAAGACCGACGCAAAGCGTCAGTCAGAGTGAGGAGGAGGAGGCTGGGTCGCCGGCTGTCGGGCTCCCCCGTGAAGACGAGCATTGCTGGAGGCCGTACCTGCGCGTGGTCACCCAGGCCACCGGGGTACTTGTGCATCTCGGCCAGTTCGCCGGATTCCTCGGTTGGCCGCCCTCTCCGGCCCCGGAGACCAGCGCCGAGATTGAGACGAAGCCTGAGACCGGGACTGAGATTGAGCCGACAGGCGGCCAGTCAGCATGTAAGGCTTTGTTGCTGCGCGAAGTGATCAGCTTCGACTCGCGCCGGACTCAAGCCCATCTGATGGGCCAGCTGACTCCGGCGGCCGTTCGGATGCTGGTCGAGTCGTCACGTCATAGCCAACAGGCTCGTCAGCGCAGAAGCAGCGGTCACTGTCTTGTTGGTTTGCCCGGTCTCGGCAACCCCGCGCTCGGCCGTCCGAGCCAAGGAGACGAACGCTCCTCCATCACCCAACTCCGGCGGGAAGACAAATCAGAGTAAGCACAATCTGCTTGGTTGTCATGACGCTGGCGGAATGGCAAATTTGCCTAGTGCAACCACATTTTTGGGCAATAAAACGAATTTTATTCCCGAATGAATGAGCACGTGGTTAGCCCAGGTCGCTTGAGGTGATTTAAAGACGCATCGATGAGTTTTCCCGTAGCCTAATGAGGAGACTAAATGACACTATTGTACAATTGAGTAGTTATGCGCCACGGTAACCACGACTTGGTGTCGAATACAGTTAGGCGTGGTGATAAGACAACGTGGCAAGGATGAGAAAGCTTTTTGAAAGGCTAGGGGAACTTAAGTCTTCGCGTCAGGCCTCAACAGAACTGGGTCAACTAAGTTATTATTCAATACAATGAATG